TATGTATTGTGTTGGTGCTATCAATGTGCTCTGTGTCAAATGGCGAGGGAAATCGATGACTCTGGTGATGACAGTCACACAGAATAAACAATTGCAGTATAATATATGCCATGTTCAGAACTGATTTAGCACATTATTGTATACACACTCATGAGAACTTATCAGCTTACGTTACCGAATACTGATCATACCTAATATTCTGATGTAAGCAGTGAAGTTTCATAGAAATTCTTTCCAAAATCAACATCATATTTTATTCTGTTTTTGATTGGTCGAGCATGGAAACAAATCGGTTAATCTGATTGGTCCACGTTGATAACAATTTGCAAATATTGCGATCTAGACAACATATATAATGCATGATATTCTCACGAATTATGAATTTCTGTTCCGATTTTAAAATCGTAAGAGAAAAAGTACAAAGTTTAGCGTCGAAATGCCGTGGAAAATGCCGAAAAAATTGTTACACAATTGTTGCACCTATATTACATACAAGAAGGCCTATAATGTAGGACAATATTTTAACAGCAGCCTCGACTTAATACGGTTATAATTGGCTCAAATTTCCATATTATTAATTAACATGATAATATCAACACCGGCGTGTGTAGTATGAATGAACCCTAATATCAATTGGTTTGGTTCGACTGTATTGATCGATTGTTAATGGCACGAACAGCGAGCATATCTTCTCCTTTACTCGAACTGATGGATTCTGCCGAGGGAGAAAATTATTACACAGGTTTGAGAAATGTACACATATATTATAATCATTATATACCGATATTTCTCGCTTCGCTGACGGTCTGTATTTTGTTACATGTAACGCTTCACGGAACGCAATGTAAATATGGGAAATGAAAAAATTAAAGTGAAGCATCAAATGATTTGAACAAACGGAAGAAGTGCCAATAAAATAGTCTAATATTTTGTTAAAATTTGTCTATGCCTCTGTTGTTATTTTACTGATTAATAAATAACTGGTATTGGATTTCAAAATAAAGGGAAAAGCATGTCATTTTATGATCTAATCGTTCCCCCAACTGTTTTAATATTGTAAAATTTCTTCGGACAAGAAGAAGTTTCATACTCGAACAGATTTTATTACGATTTTGGGGTGTTTTCTCTTCCTATTTTGATAAAATATTTGAAATTTTTGTCCGCCTTCCGTGCGTAAGCAGCCAGCCGGTGCACTCTATCGATATACGAGACGGTTTTTCTAAAAGGTTAGTCTTCCCTAAATATTGTAATATTTTCAAAATTAGGATTTAACTTCGATGTTTGTGTCATCGTTTGAATTCATCTTTATATTTTGAGAGTCCTACGGAATAATTCAGGGCATAACTTCTCAATGCAGTATCTGTCTGGCAAAGAAAAATATATTTACGTATTCATGCAATAAGACAGATCAACTATAATTTTGAAACTAATCATAATAATATTGTCAACTTTGCGTTCTACACTGTTCTAAAATGTGATGTAAATGTTAGTATTATTCGGAAGTTTGTATAAACATTTCAAAACAAAGCATTTTGCAATAAATTTCAAAGCTGACCCTACTTTGTTCATGTATATATATAGTACCTATATAAATATTATGTAATCTACTGTCTGACCAAATATTTCACTCTTAACTAACACTAGGTGTTAATTCAAAATATTTTTTAAATTTAAGTTATGGGAAACTACAGTTTGATACCAAGGTACAAATTAATTTACAGTGTGTTTAAAAGCCCATCATGTGTTAGTTGAAGTCAAATGTTCATTTGAGATTTATTGATAACAGTTTAAAGGAAAATAATCGAGATTGAAGTCACCATGGTAACATCACAAGTATTGGTCTTACTTCTCAAGAGGCAATTGTCGAGATAGGATATTGAGATAATCAAGCCATACCCATGTTATCTTATAACAATTTGTTAGTTGTTAAAATATTATATGGAGCTAGAGCACACCCTCTATCACATATCCCATTTAAAATATGTTCAAATTATTATCACATCATTATTTGTGAAGCAAATGAGAAACAATGATGAAAAAAAATTATTAAATTTCTTTGAAGTTCAGTTGCATTTGGGTGAACACCCATTAGAATTGTTGCAAATTTACCTTTCAGAGGTGAAAATTATCCTGACATAAGAAATGTTGAGTTTAATGAATTCCCCTCAATATTTCCATAATTCCATAGATCTTGAGCTTGCTGCTGCCATTGGGAAAAATTTGTTGGAAAGAAATAAAGAACTTGAACTTTTGTTATGCTCAACTCAGGACTATGCAGATGAACAAGTTCAAAAAGTCAGGTGAGTCAACTGTGGTGGTAAATCAAACTCTGATAAAATTTCATGAATACATTCTCATTGACAATTATTGAACTCTTCTTGACTTGACCAGTTGATGAAACTCTCATACAAACTCTCACTTGTCAACTCTCATCAACTCTCATGCAACTCTTGTTCTTGTTTGAACCAGAACATGACAGTTGATGAAACTCTCACACAAACTCTTGCTTGTTCTTCTTTGATTTTGACATGATTGTGGATGGAACCTCAAATCAAACTTGCCAACTTTCATGAACTTTCAATGCTTTAGCTTGAGATAAAAGTAAGAGATTAAAAACTCCTTTGAACCTACTCTTTTTTCAACAGTTCTTAACTCGTCAACTTGATGATGCAAGAGAAGTCAACGAAAGTCGTGTCAAACTGATGGAACAGATTGAGAAGAACCACGAACAGTTGTCGCGAAGCCATGCCAAGCTTAAACGCGAGACGAAATCCATTCAAGAACACAATGAAGTTTTGACAGAAAGCTTACAATCTTTAGTTGAAAAATGCGACCTATACAAATCAGAAATGGAAGTTTTGAAACGCGAAAACAGCCAATTACAACGCAAGTTATCTTCGGCATCGCTCCCTGAAACGGCCCCTGAAAGTGACCCGAAGCCTTGTGAAAAAGTTGAAAACAACATACAAGATTTGTCCGTTGTTATCAAAGAGTTAAAATTCGAGCAAGATTTAGAGAAATCCATGAGAGAGGAATTGGAAAACGAGCTTTCGCAATTGATATTTGAAAACCAAAATTTGGAACACAAACTGCGCTTGTTTGCAAAAAGTAATCGAAACTCTTTTGTAGAGGAACAGAAAATGGAGCATGTGGAGGAAAGCAATGGCGTCGAAGAGGATGTTCCCGACGGAGTGGAAGAAGACGGGGATTGTTCAAATGAAAGTTTTGTTTTGGTAGAAGAGCAAAGGATTGAAGAACTCGACAGCGAGCCAAGCTTAGAACAATGCGATATCTCGTTTCTGGATGAATTAGATCAACAATACCGAGATTTGGTGGGAAAATATAATTCTTTGGTCGAGAAGTGCAAGACCGAAGGTATACCATACGAATCTCGTGAGATGTGCACCGTGCAACGAGGGGTGCAGACCTCTCATGAAGAGGCTGCGCTGTGTGATAAGGAGGCGGTGGGGTGCGGGGTTGGGGCTGTACCCCAGTACAAGCAAATGTTTGCAAGGTTGTATGAGAAAATTCGGGAGGGAAGGGACGACAGTTGAGGGATTGTGGTTGATGGAAAGGGTCGAGTGGTTGATGCGTGTGGGTAAATATGACCGGGGTAATGGTGGATGTAAGGGGATGGGTGTGTATAATTGTGGAGTGGTGATGTTGGGAATGGTGAAGGGTTGATGCAAGGGGAGTTATAGTGATAGCAGGGGAAAGAGGAGAGAAGTAAGGAGGGTCACCATGATGTTGTGAGTATTTCGAGTGAACAGACGATAAGGAACATGGACAAAGAAAAAACAAACTTTACAAACAAATTGCAACAATTTACTTAGTCGGAATGTGAGAGAGAGATTGAAATTATATTAATAAGGATAATAGAATAGCATATATAAACAAATTGGAAATATATTTATCGAATTGTAAAGAAAAACTAACTTTAATAAAATATTTGCTCATATTTCATCGTACAAGTCAATTTTCTTTAGTGATTTCCTCATTTGAGACTTTGCCTCCCCCCCCAACCCGCCGCCGCTTTCCCCCCCCCCGCCACAAACACTGTTAGCCATCCTAAAATCAAATGCTCGCTCAATCACCACCACATTGAACTCGGTTTTCTAAAAAATACAGTCTAATCTCCCATCTTTTATACTCCGTAAAAAATTTATGTTCCTTGAACGATTATCACACTCGTATTATTCTATACGAATAGTTTCGTGTATCCTCAAGACCTCAATTCAAAGCTGCGCGGATTTAGAAAAATAGTATCCTTGTAAAATAATCTGCAGTTCTTTCATTTTACAGAACTCGAATTCCTAACTTCCAGAACCAGAAGAGCCATTATTGTTTGAAGGATAATTAGATCAGATTTCGAATTTAACGGCAAAACGGTTTCTGCCGGTCTGCGTGTGAATTCACCATCATTGAATTGACTAATTTGTGTAAGTAATTTGACGGTAGGTCAACTTATCCACGAATGGCTTACTAATTTTTTAGCGGTGTTTAATCTCCAGCGCACCTATTCGTCGTCAGAGGAAGCGCTGTCGTCGGTGATATGAATCTTTTCGAGTCTTGTCTGGCCACGATGGCTCCACTGTCTATATCTGGCCAAATCTTTCCGTGTCACTATGCCTACAACCTGGCAACGGAACGTTTAAGATACTCAAGTTTTTGAGCCGGTATATATAAAAACTCTCAAACACATTTTAAGTCGGTTTTCCACTAGCGATATTTTTCGTGGGAAGCGACATTTTACTTTTGTTCCAGACCTTTCAACTGCAACCATCTGGAACACATTGCTCAAATACAAAGGAATAAAGTCGCTTCGCGCGAAAAATATCGCTCGTGGAGAACCGGCTTTAGACGGTTCTGAATCGACAGACCAATCGCTAAGCGCTTTTCGAAGGTCTGGGGACGAGAATAATAGAATAATTTCAACTCACCTGATTGTGATGATCAACAACAATAAGATGACGTAATCCAATAGCACGAAACAGGTGAAAAACGCGGGAAATGGATGATTCCTGTTGAAGTATCAAAAGTATCAAGGCATTGCTACCGGGATCAACCTTCCTCAATGTCAGTTGATCATTGCAGTGCTGTAAGTCTGACTGATTACTGTTGCTACTAATACTAGCCTAACTAGTCTAATATTTACTGCTTTGCAATGTTTTATTCAGTGTTTCACTTTCAACCTTCCTCATTGCAGTACTGCTAGTCTGACTGAGTGCTGATTGTTGCTACTAATACCAGCCTGACTAGTCCAGTACTTACTGCTTTGCAAAGTTTTACTCAGTGTTTCACTTTCAACCTTCCTCAATGTCAGTTGATCATTGCAGTACTACTAGACTGTCCTAGAAAATTACATACCTCATGGACAGTGTACGGCATGACATTCATAAATGGTTGAAGATCCAAACAGCATTCTCGCTCCAATGGGGAAACACGAATTGTCTAAAACAAACGAGATATTTAGACTCACTAAAGTTGTATGGTCACCTGTAATGTATGCATTAAAAACATTATAAGCATAAGATATATTGCTTACTCTAACGGGCTGAAATCTAGGATAGGCATCTCTGAAATCTTTCATTGTCAACTGATGTTTAGCAGGTTCTTTTCCTCTTTCGAAAAATACCTTTGGAAAAGACAGGAAAATTTTAACTTACTTCTAAACTACAGGAGGAAACCTAAACTAAACTAACTTTATTTATACTGGATAGCTCTATCAGTTCTAAACTGTTCTTCCTAGAGGTCCAGTAAGGATCATCTCTTATTGATCCAGTGTTACTACAGGAGGAAACCTAAACTGAACTACCTTCATTCACATGCACAAAAGATTTCTGTAACTCCATTCCAACAGGAAAATCCTACTCAACAATCGCATAGCAATAAAACGGCGAGTTCACCTTGTGTTTTAAAAGGACAATGAGCTGCGATCTTAAAATCGTACCCCGGAATGCACCAAACGTTCCCTCCGACATTTCGTTCTGCGAAAAAGAAACAAAGCAATAGCGCTTTCATACAAAGCAATCATTTCACATAATACATTGTTATAGCCCAAGCGTAGCTCAGTCTATACACATGAATTACTTTTCACTGTCGTATATACCTCTGGCAGTGGATCTACCACAGGAAAGCCATTGTGAGTTGTCGTTTTAAGAAGTTCGATAACGCGACCGACCTGAATAACAGAGAAGGTTTGTTACGACAACTTGCGAAAAATACGAAATGCTTGAAGAGGCCCTTTACAATTGCTATTTTTCCGCGATTTTAGATGTGATTTTGATGGATGTGAACGAGCGGATAAGTTACTGATGGTCAAATAAGAGCTCTAAAACAATACAGCATTCATAGCTATTCGCTCGTTCACATCTATCAAATGAAGAAAATCGCCGTGTAAACAGGGTATAAAAAATAATGGCAACTTACATTTTCTACTAAATTCATACAACAAACAGGTTTGTTCATGATATTTCTAAAGAAATAATGAGAATTGTGATGGTCTATAATTGGTGTTCTAAATTTGGTTATTCCAATTATATGTTTATTACTTTAAAGAGTATTGCTCGATGAAACACTACTTCATGTAATGTTCAATGATTCCAACTTTGATCATTGGCACTGAAATGCGGTTATCTGCAATAACGCATGTCCCATACCTGGGATATTGTTGAAGAGAGCTCTTACCTGGCATTGAGGCCCTCGACCATTTGTGGTGGGTCCCAGCCCAAAATTGGAGCGCGACTTAAGCGAATGTGGATATCGTAAAGACCCTAAAATCATGAGGTGGTGTGAGTCCTGATTTTTCGATATGGTTAATCTGGGAGGTTGAAAAGCAAGACGGGATAGTGGGTTGATGAAATGGATCGCGTAGGAGTAAAGAAATTGAGAAAGAACATTTCCAATTTACATGGACCTACCCTGTCCCTCTATGACGAGACCCTAGGGGGTAATAGGGACATTGGGAGATAATCATGTACCTCGTTAAATAAGTCACCTATCCACTTCGCTACCATAATAACCAACATCATTGGCAAACCATACGTGATGTTTCTCGTTGCCTCCATTAAAATAACTGTCAAACTTATCGTCATACGAACAACTCCGCCTGCAAACAACAACAATAACTACGATAAATAAATAGGATAAGAATAGACAATTATGATGGACAAACATGGATAATTCGGAAAATAATGATAGTAATGGTTAATAATGATTAATAGTGGACAATTATGGATAATAATAAATATTGATCATACGGAATAACAACGAATAATAATGGTTAGCAATGGATACTAATGGATAAAGACAGCAATGAGTCTGTTTTATTTCTTTGTGAATACACGTATCCCCCAATATCCCTCTCGGCCAATAAATGTTGTGTAATTTTCACCCAGTTTTCATCAGTGAATTTTTTTACCCAGAAAGGCAGCGGCTCCAACAACAGCATAAAGACAAGTGTCGCGGACTAATGTATTGGGAAGGAACGTTGAGAGCCCCACAGCAAAGAGTCTCCCCCAGGCAGCTCCTGTTAAGATGCAGGGTACGAAAAGGCCGCTGGGAACGAATGAACCGTACGTCCATGTCGCCAGCAGAAAGTAGACTGGGAAGAATAGAGCCAATACTTGAAACGTATAAGTCGCTGCAAAGCAAATATGAAGTGTTCTTACATACATAGTTACGATTCAATTCTAAACTGTTCTTCCTAGAGGTCCAGTAAGAATCATCTCTTATTGATCTAGTGCTACTACAGGAGGAAACCTAAACTAAACTAACTTTATCTATACTGGATAGCTCTATCAGTTCTAAATTGTTCTTCCTAGAGGCCCAGTAAGGATCATCTCTTATTGATCCAGTGTTACTACAGGAGAAACCTAAACTAAACTAACTTTATTTATACTGGATAGCTCTATCAGTTCTAAACTGTTCTTCCTAGAGGTCCAGTAAGGATCATCTCTTATTGATCCAGTGTTACTACAGGAGAAACCTAAACTAAACTAACTTTATTTATACTGGATAGCTCTGTCAGTTTTAAACTGTTCTTCCTAGAGGTCCAGTAAGGATCATCTCTTATTGATCTAGTGTTACTACAGGAGGAAACCTAAACTAAACTAACTTTATCTATACTGGATAGCTCTATCAGTTCTAAACTGTTCTTCCTAGAGGCCCAGTAAGGATCATCTCTTATTGATCCAGTGTTACTACAGGAGAAACTTAAACTAAACTAACTTTATTTATACTGGATAGCTCTATCAGTTCTAAACTGTTCTTCCTAGAGGTCCAGTAAGGATCATCTCTTATTGATCCAGTGTTACTACAGGAGAAACCTAAACTAAACTAACTTTATTTATACTGGATAGCTCTATCAGTTCTAAACTGTTCTTCCTAGAGGTCCAGTAAGGATCATCTCTTATTGATCCAGTGTTACTACAGGAGAAACCTAAACTAAACTAACTTTATTTATACTGGATAGCTCTATCAGTTCTAAACTATTCTTCTCACCTTGTGTTGTATGGAACAAACTTTTTATTGACTGCTCAGGTGTCCTGAACGCAAGAGTTCCCATCAAACTGTATTCACCATCTTTACAAAAAAACTTTAAAACAAAAACAAAACAAAACATTGTAAAATCTACGTACAGCTGTACATGGCATGGTTGGCATATATTCATTAAAAGCCACTGTATTTACCTGCAATGGTTGGGATATGTTGTTGACACCGATTGGTTGGCAAACGTCGTAATAATAAATTAAATTGAACATAGTGCAAGTCGTGATGGCAGCAATCACGATAGCTTCAAGGACTCGTTTCCAAGCGGATTTGATGTATCTGAAATGAAAGTTAGTTTGTTTAAATATTGCTGCATGGTGTTGTGTTTTTCAAATGTGATTGGTTCA